ATTATTCTAATATTTTTAACTAATAAGTCAAGCTCACCTAGCAGTTCGAACATTTCTTTGTGTCGTACCAAATCAAATACTTTAGCATGATCCCCCATTAGGAACGCAATTTTCAACAAACTTGTATCAGTGTATCCTTCTGTATTGCATTAAATGCTAGATATGTTTTTTTACAAATGAAGACATTAGAGACGATTTAAAATGGGTATTGAAAATACCATAGATTGAACGCATGAATAACGAGGAAGATTTAAAATGGGAGTTCAGGAAACAAATAGCAGAAAATTCTGGACACATAAGGCGGAAAGAGAGTTTGGAGTATATTTAACAATTGCTAACTTTTCACATGGAGTTTTGTTAGTGACACACAAAACTTCAAGTAATCTTATGCACTAGATTCCTTTCACCAAAATCATGAACATGTACAACTTCCTCTACTGCTCGGCAACGAGTCAAATATTTGGTCTTCGTTTCATGAAAGAGGAAGCGAAAACATTTCCAAACGTGCTCGTGTACAAATATATATTGTATTATATTATGTTTTTGTTATAGTAGAGCAATATTATTTACATGTTTTTGTTGTAATATCCTATATATATATATATATATATATATATATATATATATATATATATATATATATATATATATATATTAGGATATTACAACAAGAACATAGTAAAGCAATATTATTTACATGTTTTTGTTGTAATATCCTAATATATATATATATCCTAAGGAAATATGCTCTCCTAAACTGTCTCCTGTTCTCTTTAAAGTATACAATAAATACTTTGCTACTTCTTGCTTACCAGCTTCTTAGAAATACTCTTCCGTAGTTCCAGGCTTTAATAACTCTGGTGAACCATCTGATGCCTTGAATTATCATCCTATTAGTGTTTTTCTTCCATTTGGTGAAGTACTTTAAGTTCTAATCAACTCTGAATTGGTTACATATCTCACTTCCCAGGGCCTTCATTCAGATAAGCAATATGGCTTTCGTTTCTGTATGTCAACCACTGTTATCACTGAATGTGTCTATCAAGATTTAGATAAGAAAGACGAAGCTCGGGTTGTGGCTTTAGATATAACGAAGTTGTTTGACAAGCTCCACAAGCTGTGGTCGGATATTTGATTGAATCAAATGACTCTTAACAAATCGTGTAATAAATGTAGTGTTGAACGAACTCGCGTCTAGATCCGATCACATTAATGGTGGGGACCCCCAGGACTTTATCTTTGGACCCTTGTTGGTTCATCAACGACCTTCCAAAGGTTATCAGTTCCTAATTAGGTATGTATGCTGATGGTACAACTATTTACTTCCGTCTTAATAGTAAATCCGGCAGGTCCGACAAAATAAAACTGGCATCTGCTCTTGAAAACGACTTCCAATCAGTTGTTAACTGGGGCAAGAAAAGACTTGCAAGTTTTTAATCATCATAGAGAACCATTTCTGCTCCGTATCAGTATGGCTGATGCTAGTCTCCTGTAGAGAAACGCATTTTGTCTTATTCGCTTCACTTTTTCCCCTGACATGAAGTGGTATGATTAGGAATGAATCAATTCCTAGGTCTGCCGCTAAGATTGGTTTACTGTCTCGCGGATGACACCTATTCTCGTAACTATTAATAATTCATATAGTACTATATTTTCATAGCAGTTCTAATAAGCTCTCCAAGTATATTTAAGTGTTCTACTAGATTGACATTACGAGGGTCCACTCTCGACAAAGTAGATATCATATACCTGTAGGAAATGGCTAAATCGTAGATTATATGTTGAACTCTTGTACATCAGTTATGTAATGAATATATTTGGTACTCTTTGTAATTTTTATAATCCAAGATACTTGCATTTTAAATATGTCCCACCATTATAGGACACACACACACACACACACACACACACACACACACACACACACACACACACACACACACACACACTCTCTCTCTCTCTCTCTCTCTCTATATATATATATATATATATATATATATATATATATATATATAATATGAATCCAAAGAGAGCTCAATGTAAGAAACAGAACAGTAATAATAAGTACAGACGATCCTTAAAAATCCATTTGGTTATAATTTATTTCATGAATATATAAAATAGTCATGTCTTCAGACCGAAGTTTTTTGATAAATGGAGTCAATTTGTCCAGACAAAAGGAAGAGGGACAGAAAGAAAAAAAAATTATATTAAAAGAGGAAGAAAAAAATTGTTGGGGAAAGAGAAAGAGAGGGGGGGAAGAGGGGAAAGGAGAGACGGAGAGAGTGAGAGAGGGAGGGAAAGAAAAGAAAGAAGGAAGAATTCAACATGAGTCGATAGAGTGACCTAGAAATGATTTTTTTCATTACGGGCTGAACAAGTTAAAATACAAGGATCAGACTTAACCTTCTCCTTCCCCATAACCAATTTTTTAAAAAACTTATATTGAAATTCTTCTTTTTCTTTATTCTTCTTTTAATATAAAATCCTTTACTTATTTTTCTTTCTCTCCCTCTTCCTGTTGTCTGGACAAATTGACTCCATTTATCAAAAAATTTCGATTTGAAGACATGAATATTTGTATATATTCATGAAATAAATTATAACCGAATGGATTTTTTTTTCTTGTTTTTTCTCTTAGTAATAATTATTGTAATTAAAATAACTGATCCAAGTGCGACTTTTGGATAATAAGTGCGACATTACTGTAATTATTGAACAATATAGTTCATGCCACTTTGACAGAAAATTTACCAGTAAAAAATTCGTATATCACCATATTTGTACATGAACGCACAACTGTAAAAAATTTAAAATCAAACTCAGCGTTGCTACTGCGCGCTCCAAAAACAATAACTCATTTCCAATAGCATTTTCGGATACAACAATACATATATTTTCGTTGCCCTCTTATTACTAAGAGAAAAAACCAGAACAACATCTATTCCATACCTGAAGATGTCTGTAGGAACAAACGAAAGCTTGTAGTAAAAATAAGAACTAATACGGCAGAAATTTATAGAAACAAGGATCATTTCATTCATAACGGATTCGGAGGTTTTTGTATATTATTTGCATTGTTTACGACGATGGATTTCTCGCCAATTAGATCATTAACCTTTGCATTTGTTTTTTGTGTGAATAATTCATGAATATATATATATATATATATATATATATATATATATATATATATATATATATATATATATATATATATATACATATAAATTAGTAATTATTTTGTATTGGGATTAATTTATGTGTTATGTTTTGAATGACATGAGGTTATGGCTTCAAGAGTTTTATTTTTATTATTTTAGTCATATATCTTGGCTTGTGAAAGTAGTAATTCTTTCAGGAAAGGAGATATTGGGAAGAATCCAGAGCGCACATTTATATTTTGATAAGATTGGATAGCGGCACTTTCAAGAATTTTCCTTCCAATTTTCGTTAATAAGTGTAGCATTCGCTAGGTCAAAGTAGTGGACGAATTTGTTTCTATTTATGACTAATCCATTTGATAAATTGTTGTGTATAAGGTCTCTTTTATGTTCGTAGATACGTTTTTTTTTTTTTTATATTTCTGTAAGTTTCCCCAGTGTATTGTGAGGAACAGTACTGACAATTTATTTTGTATATAGCTGCTTCAGAATTATTATATATTACATATTTTTTTCAAGGTAAAGATACATGGGCACAGGGAAAGGTTTTCAAAAATAAATAGATACAACTAAAAAATTAGCATTCTATTTTCCAAACGGAATATGCCAACGAAACAAGATCTTGAACCTTATAGTTGAAACTTGAAATGATGTTCGGCCTAAGTTTTTTTCGTTCTTTACTTCTCCGGCTTGAAATCGTCCAAACAGTATTTGTTTAAATGGTTAATCTAGCTTCCATGTGTAAAGACATACATTTATTTATGTAGTACAACAAAATTGTAGAATGCGTGAGCATTCATAGGATTATGGCCTGATATCTGCTATAAAACAGCTATCAAATTTGGATTAGCCATCAACTGTAAGATAGAATGTATGGTCGTCAGCAAGGGAAACAATCCATGGTACGATCCACGTATTGGCGATGTCAGAATCAGACAATACGGATATTTCGATAGAAGCAGAAGCTCGTAGACAAGGTTGGAAAACGAGAAAAACAGGACTGACCATCAAATGCAAGAAAGCCGAAAGGATGGTGAACAACAAGAAAAAAGATCCAGGGTGCGATCACGGATCTTAGATATCAACATCAGACAAGTACAGAAGTTCAAATATCTGGGAAGTATTTTAACAGGGGGTGTACAATGTGACACCGAAATCCGAGCGATTCTATTAGCCAAAGATATATTCCAAAAAGATAAAAGAAAATACTGGGAAACAGGAAAGTTTCCTTAGAATTAAAGAAAAGAATGTTTATATTTCTGAGATGAGGTATTGTAATTATTTACATTTTTACATTGTTCAGACTGTTGTCCTCATCTCCGTTGACATATTCATGACGTTTCGGCCGTCGTACGCTCTTGCCTTCTTCAGGGTCTGTCTATATTTCTGAGATGAGTTATTGTAATTATATTATTTACAGTGTTCGGACTATTGTCCTCATCTTCGTTGATATATTCACGATGTTTCGGTCATTTCACGCTCCGGCCTTCTTCAAGTTATTGAAATTTTTAACTGAACCCTTTATTTCGTCCACCTGGGTAGATTGTTCTAGTTTCCACGTGCCATGTCTCTTCTAGATGTCTCAGTATCAGTTATCTCCCTTTAACCCAAGTCTCCAACTTTTTGTTCGCCTCTGCCAGTTATTGAACTCACAACCCTTTTGGGTCAAGTCACACTGAGTTCAAGGAGAGGCGGTTGGTTTTTGCAAAGCGACAAACGCTGCTAATGACCGTGGATGATGGCATGTCGTGGAGAGCCATGATCGCCCATGTCTTGAAGAGACACGGTACATAGAAGAAAAAAAGAATCGTCGATGCAAATGATGTCTTTAACCGTATGAACATAACAGTCTATAATGTTGAAACCTTTGTGAAATTAATTTTTCTCCTTGTACGCAGTTTATTACTGTACGGGGGCTTTCTTTTTTCTGCTCGATTCCGTTTTAATTATTCTTGGCCATAAAGATGGAAGAAAAGTAAAACTTTACGAGAAAAACAAAAGGAAGTAAAAGAAATGAACACAGAGACCAATAATGTACGTAATAACCCCAGAAAAAAAAATGGTTAACGGCGGCAGGGTGAAATATTATCGATAACAAATTTAAAAAAAAAAAGAAAATAAAAAGAAAAAAGAAAATTCATGATCGAAGCTAAGATCAAAAAGAAGACATTTCACGCACAATTCTCTCCTTTTACATTCATTTTTATTTATTTATTTAAATAATGTTATTAGCAATTTATGCAGACAGTTATGAAGCATGAGGGAATATGGCGGCGCATGTCGTCTGGATTGAAAGAAACAGAAAGGGATATTAAAAAAACGAAAAAGGGCGAAATTGAATGAAGAACAATTAAGCCGGAGTGTAGATGCATCGATAAGTAAATAAATAAATAAAGAAAGAAAGAATTAAAGAAAGAAAGGAAAAAAAAGAAAAATGAGAATGAAATAAAGAAAGAAAGAAGAAAAATAGCAGAAAGAAAGAAAAGAAAGCATATAGGAAATGATAAAAAGAAAGAAAAGGAGAGAAAAAAACGAAAGAGAAAAAGAAAAAGGTAAAAAAAGAAAATGGAAGGAACAGTGAGAAAAACAGAAAAGAAAAAAGTAGTAAAATATAATACAAGGAACGAAAGTGTACGTAAAATAATGAAAATCAAGAAAAGAAAGAAAGAAAAAAGCGAAAGAAAAAAACAAAGAATGAATAAATGAACAAAAAGTAACAGAAAAAAAAGAAGAAATAAAGAAAGAAATAAAAGAAAATATGAAGAAGTAAAAAAAGAAAGAAAGAAAATAAAAAGAAAATAAAAATAAATTAAAGAAAAGAAAATATACTTGAAATGAAAATCAAGAAAAGGCGACAGAAAAACGGAAGAGGACATTAGAGAAAGAGAAAGAAAAGAAACAAGAAAGAACGAAGAAAGATAAATAGAAGGGAGAATGAAAGAGAAAAAAAATTTAAAAAAAGAAGAAAGAATGAAAGAAAGAGAGAAAGAAAAGGAGAAAAAGAATGAATTTCAACAAGACTAAGAAAGAAGAACGAAATAAATGCAAAAAGGAATGAGTAAGAAAGAAAAAATAAACAGGGCATTCGTTGAAAGAAAATAGAGAATGCAAGAGAGAGAGAGAGAGAGAGAGAGAGAGAGAGTATGAGAGAGAGAGTGATAGTAAAAAGAGAGACCGTGAGAGAGTGTGAGAGAGATAAAATGAGAAAGAGAGTGAGAAAGAGAGTCTGAGAGTGTGTGAGAGTGAGAAAGAGAGAGCGTGTGAGAAAGAGAATGAGAGAGAAAGTCTGCCAGAAAGAGAGAGAGAGAGTGTGTGAGAGAGTGAGACTGAGAAAGAGGGGGATAGACAGTAGTAGAGAGGGAGGGAGGGAGAGATAATGAGGGTGAGAGAGAGGGTTTGAGATAGATATATGTGTGAGAGAGAGTGATAAAGAGAGTATGAGAGAGAGAAATTGAGATTGAGAGTGTGAGAGAGTGTATCGATCTATGTTGGTCTGTCTCTTTGTTTGCCAATCTATCTCAGTCTTTTCATTATATATCGAGATCGCTATCTATTAGTTGTCTATCTATCTATCTATCTATCTATCTATCTATCTATCTATGTTGGTCTGTCTCTTTGTTTGCCAATCTATCTCAGTCTTTTCATTATATATCGAGATCGCTATCTATTAGTTGTCCATCTATCTATCTATCTATCTATCTATCTATCTATCTATCTATCTATCTATCTATCTATCTATCTATCTCTTTTCATTATCTATCTATCTATCTATCTATCTATCTATCTATCTATCTATCTGTTGGTCTGTCTCTCTGTCTGCCTATCTATCTCAGTCTTTTCATTATCTACCTAGCTCGCTAGCTATCAGTTGCCTATCTATCTATCTATCTATCTATCTATCTATCTATCTATCTATCTGATTATAAATCTATCTATCCCTGTATGTATTCGTGTATCGATCCATGTATGTATACATATTTCTAATTATCTGTTGGTCTGTCTCTTTTCATTATCTATCTATCTATCTATCTATCTACATATACAAGCATCTATCTATGTCTACCTCTCTCTTTTCTTATCTATCTCAGTCTATTTCTTTCTATCTGTTTATCTATCTCACTTACTCTTTTTCCTATCTTCCTTTGAGGAGTAACGCATAAAAAATCTTGTTACAAATTCGATATTTTAGGTTCAATTACTTTTTCAATTTACCCGCCATTAGCAGAATGTTAACTCAAGAATAAATCACCATCCAGGCGTTAATGTTTCTTCTCACGAGATTACCTTCAACTGCCTATCGTCTCGCGAGATTACCTTCAACTGCCTATCTTCTCGCGAGATTACCTTCAACTGCCTGTCTTTTCAATTAGGATTTACATTACTTTAACAAACCTCACCCATTCAGCTTACAAATATTTTCCCCTTTACACATTCAACCCTCTCCAGCGCACTGCCTCTCACGTCCTCTTTTCTTCATACAAATTTCTGCAACGGACATTTTTAGCTCATAGGAAAATATTTGTTATTTCAAGATATATTACTTTATGGAATTGGTATCAGAAATTTTTTTTTATCTACAGACAAACAGATGAATTTGTCACGTGTCTGCTGCTTGAGTGTACGGTGTTTGGTGAAGAATATTGGCTTTTACATTCAAAATCTTGTTTTGGAAGGTTTATTTTCTTTTTGGTGAATCCAAATTCTATCCTTCTTATGCGAAAGAGTTCGTAGCTCGAGGTCCGTTAGAAGAGAGAGAGAGAGAGAGAGAGAGAGAGAGAGAAAGAGAGAGAGAGAGAATGGACCAGCTTGTTCAGTATTTCTGACGAAAGTGTAAAAAAATTCTGACCCCGCAGCCCACTTTACCAGGGCTATATTGGGGTCAGTAAGTGGCTGGGGAGAGCGGTGTGTGCTAACAGGATTGTCATCTGTTTTGGTACAGGGTCTTTGATATTTTGTTTTGCTTATATTCGTTTGGGTTTGGTTTGTTTTGTTTTACGGCATATCAACCTCAGTGGATTATTTAATGCCGACAAAATTTTTTTGCTGGTAATATGATTTAAAAAATGTATTGCTGCTAATATATTTTTTTCCAAAAATGTATACAATATGGTAATATTTTTTTCTTCAAAAATTTATTACTGGTAATATTTTTCCTTCAAAAATTTATTGCTGAGAATAATTTTTGGCAAAAATGTATTGTTGATATTAAAATCTATTTTTACACGTTCATAGTGTTTTGACTCCAACTTGGGGATTAACAGGTGCTACCACCCCGGGTCAAAAGAGAGAGAGAGAGAGAGAGAGAGAGAGAGAGAGAGAGAGAGAGAGAGAGAGAGAGAGAGAGAGAGGACCAGCCTGTTTAGTATTTCTGACGAAAGTGTAGGAAAATTGTGACATCGCAGGCCTCCTTATCTGGGTTATACTGAGGTCGGTAAGTGGCTGGGGAGAGCGGTGAGTGCTAGCAGGATTGTCGCTCGTACAGGGTCTTTGATCTTTTGTTTTGCTTATATTATGTCAATGAGATGTCAAGGAGATGATGAGTAGGTGATACATTTTAAGGGATATATATATATATATATATATATATATATATATATTTATGAATAAAAATGACAATAGGAAAACTGGTAATTGCTGACGTTTTTGTCAATGTGGACTTTATCAAAGTAAAATACGAAAATGAAATTTTGCTTTGATAAAGTCCACATTGGACGAAACGTCAGCAATTACCAGTTTTCCTATTGTCATTTTTATTCATAAATATTGTCTTCTACCGATTAAATCGGAGAAATTTTTTATATATATATATATATATATATATATATATATATATATATATATATATATACCTCATTTGTTAAACTTTGCCTAAAACTACAAGTCATAGATATAACTAGAAGAATTACCCAGTATTACCAGCTGAACATGAACAAATGCGAAAAAACAAAAACTAAAAAACTGTTAAAAAGAAACTGTTCTTCGTTGTAATCTATATATATATATATATATATGTATAGCAAGGTCAAATTACTGTGTTTTTAAACTACAAATATCCCTCATGGGAAAACCTGTAGGTAAAAAAAAGAAAGAAATAATTTGACCTCGTCAACAAGAGGCTTCCTCCGTAGCTAAATGGTATCAGGCTATATGACGGTTCCGTATAGGATACAGGTTCGATTCCTGTCGGAGGGCGAATATTTTCTATAAAAATTTCTCGGAAATTCAGGCCGGTAAATGTCGTTAATACTGTTTATTATAAAACCGAGCAATTACTTAAATATTTGTATCTCTAAAAAGATTGTTTAAACATAAAACGTCTTAAAATAATTGTAGGATTTTGTCCATTTCATAATATATGATGTCATTTGTTTACGTAAAGATATGCTTCGATCAGATATGAACGTTCAAGCGAAATTATGGGAAATATAATATATATATATATATATAATAAAAAAATTCTTAAATTGCCATTGAAAAAAAAACGCACTCTTTTAAATTTTCAAAAAAAAAAAAAAATTCAACCTTAGCGTTACGACAGCACGCTCCAAAAACTTGTATCCGTTAAAAATAACACATTAAAAAAAAAAACATATTTAGATTCGCATTTAATTATTTCGTCACGGATGCTACCTGAATTTTACCAAAAACAAAATAATTTCCAAGCCTGAAGGTGACTGAATGTACAGTTCAAAGTACTTGCATATTAAAGAAAGACCTTATACAGTTTATAATTTTTAAAAACAAGGATCATAACATTCATTGAGTGATTTAATATCAATACACGGAAGATTATTCGTGAGTATGAACGGATTTTGCTAAAAATTAGCAAACATAGTAGCTGTAATTTATTCAATCAGACATGCCTAAAAGATATATATCTATATCTATATATATATATATATATATATATATATATATAGTGTGTAGCATTTTCATCCTTACAGTTTATCGCCATCTTTTGGCCTGTTTTCATGTTCTGGCGTGCTTTGTTCCTTAGAGCCGGTCAATTCAGGTCTGTGCAGCGAGGATCCGTCATGCCACGTCGACAGGGTCGAATCATCCCCATTCGCTTCGTATTCTATTGGCAAGGAGGAAGTTCCATCTGAACGGCTACTTTGTGGAAGAGATTCACGAGAAGATGCTCCACCGACCACGACAATCTGAACCACTTTAAGTCTCAGGTCAGCCGTTATCTACTTTCAACAATTCTCATTCAGTGACCCTCCACATTGATTGGTTCTTAGGGTGAACAGCTCTAGGAGAAACGTTTGTTATTAATATTGCAGTATTTTACCCTTTGTGGCAAATGGTCCTACAGTAAAGAAAAATAATAGATAGATATATAGATAATTAACAAACTTAGATAAATAGATAGATAATGAACAGACTTTGACAGGCAGTCAGATAGATAGATAGATAGATAGATATGAACAAAGATAGATAGATAGATAGATAGATAGATAAGGAACAGACTTTGACAGTCAGACAGAGAGACGGATAGATAGATACGATAAGAGATTAGATAGATAGATAGATAGATAGATAGATGAAGAACAAACTTTGACAGAGAGAGATAGATAGATAGATAGATAGATATGAACAAATATAGATAGATAGATAGATAAGGAGCAGGCTTTGACAGACAGATAGATAGATAGATAGATAGATAGATAGATACGAAAAAAGATAGACAGAGAGATAGATACATAGATATGAACAGACTGAGTTAGATAGATATATAGATAGATCGATAGATAGATACGAATAGAGATAGGTAGATAATTAACAAAATGTGATAGATTATGGACTGTGGCAGACAGACAGACAGATAGATAGATAGATAGATAGATAGATAGATAGATAGATAGATAAACAGACTTTGATTGTTGGATCACCTTTGATGGAGTCTATTTCAAGTTTCTGAAGTGACGTCATAGAAACGCTCAAACTGAGTTGGTTTTATTCTTTTATATATTTTTAAAACACTTCAATATACGGTTGCCTATGGAGAAAGACACCTTATTTAATGTCGGCTGCTTCTATTATTACGACATCCTCGAGAATTGAAATTGTTTCCATTAAATGTGAAAAAGCCGGAATTAAAATAAAAAACAGTTGCGTAAATACACACAGAATAATCCTTGAAAATGAATGTAGCAACATTCGAATATACTTGGTAAGAAAATAATATAAAATAAAAATAAATATGAACTTTGGGAAAATTACCGATAACACAAAGCAAGTAAAAAAAAAAAATCAATAAAAAATTGATTAACAAAACTTGTTTGTGCGTGTTTATCTGATGATCGCTTTTTTGTGTGATTTTGGTATTACAAGTGGTATTTCTTTGGATGATTTTCACAAAATTCCCCATAAGTCCCCTGATGTGACCATTTCGATACACATTTCCCTTTTACAACATCTAATTCTTTCTCTGTCTTTTTTTGTCTGTCTCTCTCCATCTTTTCTTGTTAGAAGCAATAAAGACTATCTTTTCTCGAAAGGTTCCATGTCTCTCTCCCGCTTACCCCTCTCCTAGTAAACTACATTCTTCCCTGTACAGTCAGAGGCAAAAGATCTTCCGTTTCTGCTGTTGTTGTTGTTGCTTAGCTGGACTAAATGGTGTGCAATGTTGGGAAGTGTTTTTCACTGGCAGACATGAAAAATAGTCCATCATAAACGAAAGAATGAAACAAAGATGGATCAATGCGCGATCGCAACCAGTGACGAAACTCTGCAAAATAGTGCGAGATCAAATGTCGGGGATCGAAGGATTGGAACTTTATGAGGCAATAAACATACGCATTTCATTTCTACTTACCATTAACGTTGCATAATAAAAGGTTCAGTCAACATGCACACACACACACACACACACACACACACACACACACACACACACACACACACACACACACACACACCTCTTCAGTTTATTGAAAAGAGAGGGATACCGAATCTGTAGAATGGCATAACTCATATAAACGCATTGAGGGCCGAGCTGTTTAAAGTCAATGGATAGACAGGAATTGATAAAGACATAAATGAATACATTTGATGCGATAGATAGATTTGAACAGATTCACACACACACACACACACACAAACACACACACACACACACGCATTTCATTGAATACAGACATATTCTGT